CACACACACACACACACACACCCCTCTGGAAACAGAAAAACCTTTCTGTGAGGGTTTCTTGGGAGTGCAGGCCACCCACAGAGGTTAGTACTGGATTAACATGGTCCTGGGACTAGCTCGGAGACCTGGAGTCATCCATCAGTCCAGTTCTCCACGGTCCCCATTCCTGAATGGTACTGTAAGGACGACTCTCGGGACAAGGAGAAGCTCTGGGAGTAGAGAAATTCATTGGCGGCACTCAGGTGTGGAGAGGGCGGTTTCCGCTCACACACGGGCGGGAGGGCACGCTCTCTTGGAAAGGAGGTGCTGGGCCCCCGCTCCCGGACCTGAGACTGGGAGAGCTGGTTGTAGACGCTGAAGTGGGTGTTTCCAGGCGGCTGGGAGCTCTGGGCCGAGATGGTAGGCAGCCTGGGCATCATAGTGGTGGCGGTGAAGTGCGTGGGGAAGGGCTGGTAGGGCACAGTCTCCATGGTCTGGACGCTGTAGTTGGTGTACGGTGAGACCGAGGTCCACATGTTACAGCTCAGTGGCGGCGGGGGCAAGTCGTCCACCCCGGACACCCCAGCCAGCTCAGGCCCTGAACCTGAGTACATACAGGCTTCTCTGGGGGTCACCTCGCTGCAGTAGGAGGGGCTCAGCATCTGTTGGTCATAGGGAGGAGGAGAGCGGAAGTAGTGATCCTCCCCCACGGAAGAAGGGGCTTCCAGGTACGGCCTCTTGCAGGGTAGGTCCAGGTGTCGTGCACCGTCTGCAGGAAGACAAAGGACCTCAGGAAGAGTCGTTTCCACCAGCCCGGGTCCCAGAGCACCTACCGGACGACTCTCCTGGCTGTGTGGGCTCCACCCATGCCCCGTGGTGCCACCCACTCCCGGGACCCTTTTCATCAGCTACAGCTATCCACAGGGGGTGGCAGCCCAGACGTGGTGAGGTCATGGACCCTGCTCAGAAGCCACAAGGGTCATCACACTGCTGGACAATGGACGGAGTGTCTAGTCCAGCAGCATTGAGACATTTCTCTTTGAGCCTTGGCCCACCTGACTCTCAGCGATGGTGAGAGGCCCCGTGGGCCTGCTCTTCTTAATCAACCCACCCAGGCCAGCCGACGAAAGTTGGAGGCCCTGAGGCAACGGCCAGGCCCAACCAGGCCCACCGGCCACGTCGGTCTGAATGAGCCAGAGAATGAAGGCCACCGTGTGTTCGCCATAGCAGGCCAAAGCTACACACAGGCCTGTTCCCATGGCTTTTTAAAGAGACAGACAGGACGCTCAATCGCTGCATGTGCAGAGAAGACACGGTTGCTTGTTTTTCATACAGACTCCAAGACAGCAGAGTGGACCACATGAAGAAATTGAGCTGGTAGCGAGTGAGAAGGGGGACTAGCCTGTGCTTCAAAGGCTAGCCTGATCTTGTTTGGGGAAAGATGGCCACAGCTCTTCTGTGCGTGTCTCGTGTCTCTTCAACCTCCTCAACCGCAGGGAGGACTGGTGTGTCTGGAGGGACTCATCCTCCCCGGGGACCCAGGGCGGCCCAGGCCTGTAGGCTTGGACAGCAGCCCACTCACCAAATTTTAGAGCACTTGTCCAGCGGTTTCTCTTGGCTTCTCTCCTTGTGTTTTTCTCTAGAGCAGTGGTTCTCAACCTTCCTCATGCCACGACCCTTTCATACAGTTCCTCGTGTGGTGGTAACCCCCCACAACCATACAATTATTTTCGTTGTTATTTCATAAACTGTCATTTTGCTCCTGGTAGGAATCGGGTGACCCCTGTGAAAGGGTCTTTCGAACCCCCACCCCCAAGGGGTCGAGACCCACTGGTTGAGAACGGCTGCTCTAGAGATGTATTCTGGGCGCTGTGCATACACAAGGGAGGTGGCCTTGGGGCAGGGTCTGTGGAGACTGAGTTTGAAGGCTTGCATTCTCTCCCCCCTCTCCCCTGTTATCTACTCTGTGCATTTACCAGCTCTCTCCCTTATCCCTCACTCCTCCTTCCCTCCGATCTCCTCCTTCCCCTCTGCACTGCGCCTGGGTCTGGGCAGCTGGCCCAGGCCCTCCAGGTCAGGAGTCAGCAAACTTTTCCTCTAAAAGGTCAGCTCGTAAGCACTGTGGGCTGTGTGGCCGGCTCACCCAGTCTCTCCCACAGCTTCTTGATCGGGCTGCTGTCACAGAAAGCTCCCGTAGGCAATACATAGAGAAGTGACTAAGGCTAGGCTCCAATAACACAGCCTTGTGACGGAGCGGTTACTCGTCGGGCTGCCAACCAAAAGGTCAGCCGTTTGAAACCACCAGCCGCTGTGTGGGAGAAAGCAAAGCTTTCTACTCCCAGAAAGAACTAGTCTTGGAAACCCATGGGGGTAGTTCGACCCTGTCCTATAGCGTCGCTGTGAGTCAGAATTGGCTCAGTAGCAGTGAGTGAGATGTTCCAAACTTTAAGGATGCTAAAATTTGAATTTCCTATCATGTTCACATAAAACATCGCAGTGCTCTTTTGATTTCTTTTGAACTACTTAAAAATGTTAAAATATTTTTAAAACCTTCTCAGCTCATAGACTATAGAAAAAACGGGCAACAGGCCAGAGTTGGTCCCAGGGCTGGAGTGTCACTGAGTTCCAGTGGAATGTGTACAGGGGGTTCTCAGGGCTCTGGCTCCCTGACCCCAGGGTGCTGGGCTGAGAGAACATTCTGGATTGTAAACGGAGGGCCCAAACTATTCCCCAGAGTCTAGTGGCCCCGAGAGGTTGTCTGGTGGAGTGCCCCTGCTCGCCCCTGTTGTCTGCGTCTGCCTGGCACCAGAGCACAGATGCCCGGGTCTCCTTCATAAAGGACCGCGCTGTGCCCTTGGTGCTGCGGCCCGCCCGCTTCTCAAGAAGCTTCTGCAGATCCTGGTGCGGCCAGGAGAGCTGCTCGTCCAAGGTCATTCTTGTCCAAGGATTGAGGTTGCTTGGGTCAAAATCTCTGGACTCAAGCTACGCTCCTGCTCCTGCATGTCTAGGCAGAGCCCGGCGGACAGAAGTGTCTTCTGTCACCCCATGCAGGGGCTCAGGGACCACAGAGCAACCCCCGGGGCTGGGGAAGGAGGTGGGTGTTGGAGGACCAGGCGACAGATGTCTGTAGAGTCAAGGCTGT